AAATGTGGTCTTTAATCGATTACATTCTACAGCTTACACCCTACTCTGGGTTATCCGGAGAATTACATCCATTCGCATCATTACTTATAACTTTTTTAATATTTGTCACCGGTTTCATAATGGTTAATTCAATTGCAGCAAAAATTTTTGGAAGAAATAAATTCCAGCCTCAAGGAAAGGTATTTTGAAGAATTTATCGATTTATCGATAAAAGTAAAAATTGATATACTATGTCTAGTATCCCTAATTTAATCTTATTCCAGCATATATACATTACTGGTGGGAGCAAGGGTACTGGCAAGGAGGTCGCTAAACTACTCGCTTCAAAGGGTGCGCATGTTACAATTATTGCCAGAGGCGAAAAGGAGTTGAATGAAGCCTTAGAAGAGATAAAAAATGTAATTATTACAATTCTTGACACACGTTTCACAGTTGAATGCAATATACAGCCATCTTTCTATTCATTCACAACCAAACTTATTAGGCTGCTCGAAATCGGGATGATTATGAAAGTTTAATATTCAATGCCATCTCCGCTGATATCTCCAAGAAAGATGATTCAATTCGAGCGCTTAACGAAGCTTCAGAGAAGCATAGTGGAAGAGCACCAGACGTCGTGATTTGTTGTGCAGGTACATGAATTATTAGAATTACTCTCTTTCACTGGAAATTTATCAATACACAACTTCCCCCTTTTTTTAGGAATTTCAATACCGCGTGTATTTATTGAACAACCAATACAGGAATTTGAAAACACCATGCAAATTAATTATTTTGGAGCCTTGTATACTACTCATGTAATATTATTATTCATATAAGTTTTTTAGATCATTATATTATTAAAATATGTATTCAGAATATATTTTCACTCTGATTATTTTTTAGGAAGCCGTCAAACGTATGGCCCAACAAGGTGTCAAGGGCAAGATCGTTTTCGTCAGTTCAGTTGCAGCCTTTGTTGGTTTTATGGGATATGCTTCCTATTCTCCGTCAAAGATTGCTCTCCGAAGTAATTTAAATTCGAATTTTTTCTCTTACTCTGTAGTTTATAATTTACTATTAATTTTTGACTCTAGGTTTGGCCGAGTGCTTACGGCATGAGTTGATCCTCTATGATATTGGGGTTCATTGCTATTTTCCAGGTACAATTGATAGTTTAAGCTATCAAGAGGAGGTATTGAATTAACAAATATATTTATTGCTCTACCGATGGCCTCTCATTAATATAATTGTTTTCGAAACGTAATAAATTACACTTGGATCTTTAGATGAAAACAAAACCAAAAATTACTAAAGAACTTGAAGGAGATGATTTGATTTCCCCGGAACAAGCAGCCAAGGCCTTATACAAAGGTATAGAAATTTTATGTTGCGTCTGTCAAGTATATATTTATAAATAATATGCATGATATATTCGTAGGTCTTTGTAAAGGACAATTTTTCATCACTTCAGATATCATAGGCGATGCATTTAGGGCTGCCACATTAGGTTTATATTCATATGTATTTATTTGCGTCCACACTTTTGACGAAATCTTAATACTCGCTTCTATTAAATTACGTAGGAATCGTTGAATCAAATAACGCTATTGTTGACTCATTCCTATCTGGGATCCTTTGGGTATGTGTAATAAGATAGTATAGGTGCAATTTACTGATGTCTAAAATTCAAGACAAGGAGGATACACCCCCATCGCTTCATTTTGACATCTATTACCTTATTCTAAATTTTCTAATGAACTTTATTATATTATTATTATAGACTGTGTCAAAGCCCGCAAGGTGGTTTGCTGACAAGATGGTTCGTGATCATAGAGCGGAATATCCTGTGACTCCAATTAAAAATGATAATTAG